CAAGAACCTCATGTTGACATGGATGAACTTACAAAAATGATGCAAAGCATGTGATGTACTATTTATTTTTTTATAATTGTTGTAAACTTTTAATTTGCAAGTTCAAAAATAACAAAATCAAAAAAGAACTTGCAACTTAATTTGAAGTATTATATATTATTCAATAAAAATATCAAATGAAAGTTTTCGGAGCTTGATCCTTACATATAGGTCTTATTAAATAATTTTTTGTAGCCACTTACTTTCAAATTTTAATTTTAACATTATAAAATTCAAATTTAAAATTTAAAATTTTAAACTTCAAAGTTTAATTCTAAGCTTTAAAAGTTTACAAACACTTAAGTATCAATAACATTGAATAAGAAAAATAAAATTTACTTAACAAAAAAAAAATTCACGGCCCGCTAACAAACCGCTAACAACCCGCTAAGCCCGAACCCGGACGGATAAAAAAAAACACGAAAAAATACAGCCCGCGCTAACAGCCCGCAACATTAAATAGACGGACTGATTTTTTTTTGTCCAGCCCGTCCCATGCCGCCCGTTAAACACCCATAATCTTTTCTCTTTATTTCAGTTTTGGCAAAATTTGTCGTCTTGTGATCTTGTCCAAATCCATTTTCCTCGTCCTTACCTTTTCCCTCTGCTGACAAATTATCAAATTGTCAAAACCGTGTGCTCTCCAGTCTACACGCCCCAAGATTCGTTCAAAAACAAACGTCGCCCCCTTCTTTAGCCTTTCACGCTATATCTCTACATAAAACCCCAACCTCATAATTCATGCTTCAATCCAAACTACAGCATTAATGTTTATCAAATAGTTTGATTAAGGGTTGAATTTCAGTGGATTGTGTGGCAGCAAATATTTCAAAGTAGCTAGACATCAAAAACAAAGATAGGCAAAAATGTGTAAAGGGTTTCAGCAATACGAGAGAGATCGTCTGAAAATCAAAGCTTTTTATCTCCATTTCTCATTTTCCTCACCTACCAAAAATGCCTTACCCGATTGTCTAACACTGCATTATCTTCCAAGAATAAGTGAAAGTCCATTGGAGATTAACGACTCCAAGATCCGATCCAATGCCCCGGGTTTCGTTACGCTCCACCGGGTCGTGTCAGCTGAGAAGGCGACAAAAGGGGTCATATATGGAAGCAGAGATAGAGTTAAAGCGAGTGAAGGAGTAAGGTTCGAAATATACATCGCTGATGTAAAGATTTTAAGGGGTATTTTCGGAAAAGATGGAGTTGAGGATAATTGGAGAATTGATTGCAGGTCAATGCTCGAAAATGATGATTTGCACGTAAAAGGGGCGGAAGTGTGTGTGGCGGTGGAAGGACGAGCCGCCGGTTCAGCGGCGGAGGTGATAACAGAGAAGGTGGAGATGACGGTGAAGAAGAGGAGATCACGGCGGAGGAGCTGTTTTCAGAAGCTGGAGGAGATCCCTGAACAAAGAGAAGTTGAAAATGAGCTTGAGGGGTCCACTTGTTGTTGCTCGGAGTGTGAAGGTGAAGAAGATTCCGACGGCGGAGACACGGCGGAAGCGGCGGAGGAGGAGGCTGAGACGGAGGGAGTTGGGTGGGCATTAGATGTGGGGATATGGGTGATGTGCCTTGGGGTGGGTGTTGGGTATTTGGTCTCTAGAGCTTCTTCTAAGAGATTAAGAAGAAGAAGATTCATACTATAAACTTATTTTTAGTAGTAATTAATACGATTTTTTGCTGTAAGTTCTAACAATAGGAGTCTATATTGAGAATTTGAGAGTGATCTTGATATTGTTAACCCAATTTTCCGGAGATTATTTACACCAATAAATTTCACTTTATACTTTAGCTTATTCACCCCTTCTTAATTTCTTTTACTTGTTTAATTGTTTGCAGAATAATAATGGTTAAATTCAAATAGGTTCAATCCAAACTATGCAGTTATGATTGTATCAGCTCAAAATCTCGTTAATTAATCTATCTTTATTTTGCTTCCTCTATCTCTATCAATTAAAGCTTTATATCCATTTTAAGTTTATCACCTTACCTTAATCTAGAGCCACTTCGAACTTTGATTCATCGTCCCCCGCCCTCCCAATCGATAATGTCTATTAATTAAGAATTTATGATTCCTTATTTTGGTTTCATAATTAATCTCAAGATATGTAAGGCTAAATATTTATTTCATTGAATAAATAAAAGAATAGTACTCCATCTCTGAACCTGAAGCCATAAGTATGGTTCATTTCTTCTACTTTACTTGATTTTTATTTAGAAGCAACTGCTTGTTACTAAAATTGTCGATTTTAAAACTTAGCTTAACTATTCTGTTTTTATCTCGAATTTTGCTACATTTTATTGTCTAATACTTGAAATAGAAATTAGACGAATTTGACTCTTTCATACTTCATTAGAGAAGACTCGATTATTTAGAAGAAAGTTGGGGGATAAACAACGATTTTAAGTTAAAATTCATAATGAAAAGTCACGTGAGAAATGCTTGTAAGCTTTGAAGGAATTGGTAGAGTTGAGTGGGGAGATGATGTAATTCATTTTTTGATTTGCACCAAAAAAAAAAAGTAATTCAATTTTGATATTAGCATGCTTCCTTATCACTGTCAATGCCTTTTAATTCGAGATCCTATTTAGAAAGATGTTGGCTGAATGACTTCTATACAATGTTAAAGGGATATATTATATTAACGTTACCAGATTACTTTAAAGCTAATTATAGGTAATTATAATAATAAGTGAAATTATCTTGAGAGTAAGACAAGTAGCATTCTTTATTATTGTTATGAAACTAAATCTGAGTAGAGATATTTGTAATTATCAATTATATTCTTGTTTTAAATAAATAGTTATGAATGACTTAGACCATTTCAAGTCGAATTGATCAATTGAATTAAGTATATTTTTTACATTTGTAGGAGCGCATTTCTAATTTACAAATCTAATTTTGTTTGAACATTTTTAGTTCGAAGTATTACCCCGACTAACAACTAGCCAAAGAATTTTTTTATTTTGAATCGAGTATACAATCAATGCTTCATTTTCATGGTCAAGGCCTTTTAACTCGAGATCGTATTTAGAAAGTGTTGACTTCTATACAAGAATACTATAAAAAAATCTTATGCTATCAAATTATTTTACAGTTAATTATAGAAAATTATTTATAATGAGTGAAATTATCTATTATTGTAATGATGTAATCTAAAGAATAAGACAAGTAACATTCTTGAGTGTTGCAAAGCAAAACCAACGAGAAGATCTCTGAGATTATCCCTTATATTTATAATAATTATTATTACTTCTCTAGAAATCAAACAAGTAAAATTTACACTTTAAACAATTGACCAATAGTAAAAGAATATTTATATTTTTTAATTAGGAGAATTTACACAGACCATCGAGATATAAGAGATAAATTTGGATGTTGAACAAAAAAAGAGAGGAAATTACAAAAACAAAAACCACTAATGCACAAATAATCTCATTTTAATTTTCCTCTGCTTTCTGTTGCTAATTGCAGCACTCTACTTGGCTGAGCTCCATATGTACTAACTTATGAGTCTACCTGATAAAATGTTGCTTTGAAAAATAATTTAAACACGATTATTTTTCATGATTTAAAGGGAAAAAAATGTCATATTCGCGAAGGAAGAGTACTTATGGCTATCGAAATTTAAACTCTAATAATACTGATGAAAATCTCCAACCCTTTTGCTCTTCAAATAGAAATATTTTTGAAAAAAGGAGTAATCTTGGCTTATCATTTCACTAAAATCCCTTTAATGCCAAAAATTATTGATTAACCTGCACTAATCATAGCACGTGGCAAAGAATCCACGTGTCATCAAAGAGATGCAGGTCTCCACGTCAGCATCTCTACACCACCCAACTTTTGATCCGGACCCAGACCCGAATTCGTAGCCGTATCCATATCCAGTCACCTCCTTCCTTTCATATATTTCTCTCTTTTTTCTCTCTCATTCTCATGGTAGTCAACAGGCACGTCCAGTAAATTATCGCCTAGATTTTTAGAGGGAAAAAAAAGGAGAAAAAATATATTATTAGAAAAACAAAATAGTAAAACATAACTCAAAATCTGAAAATACCGATAATAGCCTAATAATTCAGAGATTTGTGATAGAATAGCTCTTCTGCAAGCTGCTACATTCAACTGCCAATACATCTCCGATGCTCTCTGTCAACTTTAACGGCCATTTTCCATAATCGGCGACGTTATACAATTCAGTTTTATAACACTTAAGCGATTTCTGCTTCTTCGGGCGGAGCGGCGATGGCCGGCGGTGGTCCGAGAAATTATTCGGCGAATCCAAACGATTACAAGCTTCTAGAAGAAGTCGGTTACGGAGCTAGTGCAACTGTTTATAGAGCGATCTATCTTCCTTTCAATGAAGTCATCGCAGTCAAGTGCTTGGATCTCGATCGCTGTAATAGCAATCTGGTTTGTTCTCCTTTCCTACTCTATTTCTTCTGCTTTGAGTTTTTACTGATTGAAAATTTGATTTTGACTTGATTTGACTTGCGGATTAGATGCACTTTTAGTATATCTGAGTGGTTAGAACTGCAAATTTGGCTATGGAGATCATAGAGTTGAACGGACGATGCTTCAATTGTGATTCCCTTGTTTGCTTTGACTTGAATAGGTCAAATGTTTGTATTTCTTGTAATTTGTCAACGGCTAATGTAACAAGACTCATTAATTGGTAGCTCCAAGTGATGTTGATTTAACAAACTTACTGATTTTGTACGTGTATTGGTCCCTATAATAATTTTATAATGCTGGAAACAAATCAGTATTAACGCACTAACAGAAATATGGAGCGAGATTTAATTTGTGTGTAATCAGATTACAAAATACAATCAATTAACTAGGCTTATTTCCAAAGTGGCAGCTGTATTTACTTAACTTGTAGTAAGAATAACAGCGACTTGCATCGAGTGATAGATTGATCAACAATGAAATGGACAAAGAAACTTTGCAACAGTTCTCTTCTTAAATGTTCACTTGAATTACATCATCTAAGATCGACCTTTATCATGGGATCCGTGCGACAAATACTATCAAATCCCAGCTCCCAACAAGATACCACATCATCCCTATCTCCGCTAATTCTATTTTATCAAGGGATGCTAGCTATCAAAATTCAAAAAAGTTTTCTTTTTGGTTAGCTGATTTCTCTCTTAAAGCTCTTGTTCTATTTTTCACTATTAGAACACCACAACTTTCGTCTTTTTGAAATTATTATTCTCAAATGAATTGATCCTTCAATATCTTTTCCTTATTAATAAGGTAAATATAGAACTGGTACAAGCAATTAATAGTCCCCTGACTGTAACCAGCCTGAGGAAAATATTTGAGAGGAAGTATCCCGAAAGTAACCATGACCCTCTCTGCTAGGTCAATTTTCGTGCCACCCAGCATTTCTCTTTCACTTGTGACATTAGTTCATTTTGGCAGATAGGGTTTTCTTGAACTTGTATACTAGTACCTGGTACTAACATACGCACAACCTACACCTGCTCATATGGAAAACTGCTACATGCATTCTGCATCTCCAGTTTCACAAGATTATAGCATGAAGGACTGCTCTTGTTTATGGCATATTGCTAGTGTTCTGAAGTATAAGTTCTTTCCCTTTGTACATTTTAACTCTTCTCAGTAGTCAATCATTTACAGTTGGAACTCCTCCCCATGACCACCTCAAATTGTTGCTTTTAACATCACTGTAAAAAAGAGTATAACCTTGTTTTTTTTTTAAATAACCGAGAGCGATGGCACATGCCTTTGTTATACTCGGGACAAAAGTTTAGTTATAATTTTAGCTGGTTGTGGGTTGTATTGATGTGTGCATGTGTTCACCCACCAAAATTTATTTGGTCAGTGTTATCAAAGGTGAAAAACAAAGAAAGGTACCAAGTGTTTGGTGGGGTTTTGACTTTAACCGCACAAAGCGCAAGAAAAGCGTGATTTTTAGTGTAGTAAGGCCCAGGCAAGAAAAAGTATATTACAAGATAAAGTTACAATAAAAATAAAAAGTAGTTTTATGGGCTATAGAATTGGAAACTACAATAACTTAGCATATTCGGAGTAAAAGCCATATAAACAAGTTCAATCTAGTTGTAAATGTATGATTTTGAAGCAAGTTTCTAATTCAAATTATTGACATATTCTTTTTGTACTAAAGTTCTGATTTCATATCATAGTTTCTCCCATATTTTCATCCTTAAGTTGCTAACATATCCTGGTGGTCAATGAACTAAGTGCAAACTTCGGAGATTACAATTCAATCCCAACAAAGACAAAAAGCAGTAGGTGATTCTTTCTATCTGTCTAAGCCTTGGCAGTGGCAGACTATGTACCTATACTGGTTGGAGATAGCAGTACCCGGTGGAATAATCGAATTGCATGCAAGCTGGCCCGGACACCGGAATTATAAAAAGAAAAACATATCATATTGCTTTGAAAAGGATTTTTTTTTTTGGGAAAGGAAAACATATCATATTGCTAATAATTATCTTTACTTATAAAAAAATAATATATAAGTTTATAAAATATATAAATTTGTTATCTATTTCTTGTCCTCTTTAAGACAGACCATTAAGGTGCGCGCTATGCCTGCACCAAAACGCCGCAAGTGGGGCGAAGTGACTAGCTTGCACTCCATTAAGTCTTAGAATTTACGCGCGCCTCAGACGAGCATTTAACAGTATAATAGTTAGGCTAAACATTTCTGTTTTTATTTTTTGTAATTTTTGGTTGGAATGTGAGAGCATGTTTGGGATTACTGGTAAATTGGTGAAGTTGTTGGCTGCACTCGCCATTGAGGAGGGAAGGGTGACTACACTCGCCTTCTCCCGAGCCCGCTATAACGGGATCCTCCTGACATTGGTGTCCACCTTTTTAATGGCTAACAACCCATATTGGAGAATTAATTAGGAAACTCTTATTTTGATTGAACAGTACAAAGACGAACTCATTTGGCTAAAAAACATTATTCACTACTCAACTTATTTGAATGTTAAGGACTAGCCCGTCAAATTGCTACTTCCACCAATTTTAGATTAAAAGTTTTGACTAGGAATCACTTTTTGGCATCTNTTCAGGTGGCCCAATTCTCTTCCATTAACAGCATTATGAATTAAAGAGTAACATATTCGAATATTAATACAGTAGACCCTTATGGTCCGGCCCTTCCCCGGACCCTGCGCATAGCGGGAGCTTAGTGCACCGGGCTGCCCTTTCAATCAATAAATCCCAGAACTAGTTGCTCTGTGTATTGCGAATTTGTTTTGCTGGTCTAGACTGTACCCTATCAACATTGATCATCTTTTGGATTTCATTAGTTCTTTAGATCTGGCTTAGCCAATTATGTATAGGAGCCGGAATATTTTTTGTAAGCTCAAATGCCAAATCATGTACTTCTTGCATCTTCTTGATGCCATCTATTGAAATCACTTACTTTATCAAAAAAATAAAATAAAAAATCCCAGAACTAGTTGGAATCAATTAACTATATGAATCCTCTTTATTCATTCTACTCTATTCAGGCTCATTTATTTCACCGTTCAACAATTTCTTTTTTAGGACAAATCAGAGGTTCTCCGTTCTCTAAAAATAGATGTTTTCTAAGTCTCACATTTATCACTCGTACAAATCTATCCAAACTAAAAATACAAGTGTGACAGTAACAACTCAACCTTAATCGCATTGTGTGGATCTTTTGCTTAAAAGGTTCTGTTTTTAGCTAAGGTTGCATGCATTTCGAGAGATTGTAAGTCTTTTGAGAAAAGTTCTCTCGACGTGATTTGTGTTCCTTTTTGAGGAGTAGAAGTATCAAGGAAGGCTTCTTATAGTTACAAGTTGAGGTGTCACATTATAAAGACTGTTCTTGTAATTGCTTTTCTATTTGGATCTATCATGCTGCTATTTTTGCAATAGTCAGTTGAAAGAATTTACTTCTTCACAGGATGACATTCGCAGGGAAGCTCAAACGATGAGTTTGATAGACCATCCTAATGTAATAAAGTCATTCTGTTCGTTTGTTGTTGATAGCTACCTTTGGGTGGTGATGCCCTTCATGGCCGAGGGTTCTTGTCTGCATCTCATGAAGATAGCATATCCAGATGGATTCGAAGAATCCGCTATTTGTTCTATGTTGAAGGAAACTCTCAAGGCTTTGGAATATCTCCATCGACATGGGCACATCCATCGAGATGTTAAGGTTTGTTAAAACTGATGTTCCCTTGTCGCTGATCCTCAAATTTGCAATATTTGTGGTTTCTGTACCACTTTTTTCTCATTGCAGGCTGGGAATATATTGCTGGATACTAATGGGATAGTAAAGCTGGGGGACTTTGGTGTTTCAGCATGCATGTTTGACAGTGGTGATAGACAGCGGTCTAGGAATACCTTTGTAGGAACTCCGTGCTGGTGAGCATATAAGCATCCTTTTGGTCAATTTCCACTCATCAGTATTTGTTTCTATGGAACATGTCTATCAACTACTTTTATTTTGTAGGATGGCACCAGAAGTTCTGCAGCCTGGAACTGGATATGATTTCAAGTGAGTTTTCTTTGTCGTGAGTAAGGTCTTGATGGTTTCATATGATATGATGTAAATATTCATTTAGTTGTTGACTGAGAGCTATTTGACAAAGCTGAAGTCTGAATTCCGACTGAAATTGTATCATTGGGTGATTTTAGCTACTGAAATTTTCATACTGAAGGGTATTAAGTTTACGTATTTTAATCCTGTCACTGAATTCAAATCTAAAATATCCTCTTGAATATTTGTTGAAACTATAACTGGAAGTATATTAATTTTGTCACTAGATAATGCTAGCTAGAGTTTATGTACTTATTCATGTTGTAATGATGAAGGATCCATCATGCCTGAAGAAATGATGTAAGCATTTTTATTCATGAAACTTGCTTTTGGATATGTGGTTTTTCAGACTTCAGTGATAACTAGACTTTGTTTCACTTGAACATTGAAAGTATTAAGTGAATTTTTGTTTATGGTATAAAGAAGTCTAAATTATTATCACTTAAATTGGTCAGGTTAGGTGCTTAGAAGAAAAAAAAGTTATCAAACAGGCCCTAAGATGAGAATTCTGAATTGTCTACATTTTGTGCTTGTCTGGATGATGTGTTGGTTTACTTATACAGTGTTACTGGGAATATTATTATGATTGTTGCAAGAGACATTAATTTTCTTCCTTCTACAGGGCTGACATTTGGTCACTTGGAATAACTGCCCTGGAGTTGGCTCATGGTCATGCACCATTTTCAAAGTACCCTCCAATGAAGGTATATATATATACATTTCCAAGAGGGTTCAACAATAATATTTTAGCTTTGTGCTTGAGTATGCATTATTTTAAGTTACCCTCTGCTCTCTTGCCACAGGTTCTACTGATGACAATACAGAATGCCCCTCCTGGACTTGATTATGACCGAGACAAAAAATTCTCCAAGGTAATGGTATTGCTTATTGCCAATTTCATTTACATATGTTCAAAAGATATTTGAATATGTTGCTTTGCTATGTGCTTCAGTCTTTATCTTGTGGTCATGTATGGAAATGAAAAAGAGTTTTTACTTGTCGTAACAGTCATTCAAGGAAATGGTTGCAATGTGCTTGGTGAAAGATCAAAATAAAAGGCCAACCGCTGAGAAGTTGTTGAAGCATTCTTTTTTCAAAAATGCCAAGCCTCCAGAGCTTTCTGTAAAGAAACTTTTTGCTGACTTGCCACCACTTTGGCATCGAGTTAAAGCTCTGCAGGTATTTCATAAGAGGATTGTTCTAAGGGTTCATTATTTTTCCTACTTAGCATTGTTTAATGTTGCTTGATGAAATCATTGCAGCTTAAAGATGCTGCGCAGCTAGCTTTGAAGAAAATGCCTTCTTCCGAGCAGGAAGCATTGTCACAGGTTTGATGCAATTGTTCTGTCAATGGCATTGTTCATTAGTGCGCAATGGTTATACCATCTATATTTTTGTGCATTTATTTATTGCAGTAGCTACCATGCTATTTTTCTGTAAGCGAAAATGTCCAACAGAGTGATGTATATATGTGGTCCAGAATTGGTTTTCCATCTTTGATAAGAAAATTTAGTCAGCCACTCAATTATGAATTCCAGAACTTAGGATCTCCATTTTGCTCTTTTGAACTTTATGCATTCCATGAAAATCTCAGATACAAATATACAATTGGTTAGAGAATACAATTGGCTAATTTTAACTGTCAACTTCATTCTGTTGGTTCTTTTATTCTTTTAGAAAATTCTATAGTTTCTTTTCTTCTACTGTTTCGATCTTTGGACTTTGGAGAGGGATATTATGTTGATGATGTACTTCACGTTTCTAAAGAAAAAACAAAAAGGATGGTGATGATGTACTCAAATTATGTATTTACGTTCCTAGCTGAAATTGTTGCTACTTGCATTGTGTCTATGGCTAGTTTTTTTATTTTATAAAAGCAAGTAAAGTATTTTCCTTCATCTTTTTTCTCTTTTGCAGTGTCTACTTTGTGCCTGTAGGCTAATCTTATTCTTTTCAATTTTCTTTATCTGTAGCATCTGAGAGTGAACATAATCAGGAGTTCCCTTCTTTAAATTTTTTCCTTTTGTTTTGACTTTTTGGAAACAGCCTCTCTAACCTCACAAGGTAGGGGTAAGGTCTGCATACACACTACCCTCCCCTGACCCCACAGTGTGGGATAATACTGGGTATGTTGTTGTTTTAACTTTTTGTTCTTCACAGAGTGAATACCAACGGGGAGTTAGCGCCTGGAACTTTGATCTGGAGGATTTGAAGCTTCAAGCTTCACTGGTATGTATGTGAGGGAGGTCTCTTTGTGTCTGATAAAGATACCCGTTCACTTCTGCTCCATGATTTTTGCCATCCCAAATTTGAATTGGTTTGACTTTCGCTGTGGCAGGTACAGGACGATGACGAAATACAAGAAATTAAGGAAGAAGATGAAGCCATGAAAGCTTATATGAACTACAAGGTCTTTTGTAGTCTTTTGCTATAGTTTTCTAGTCTATTTTCAAGCTATTAATATCGGCTTAGATCTATATTTAGCCTTTTTTTTCTTTAGCCATATCATCCTGTACGTGAATTCTTCTCCTATTTGCAGGAAAAATCTATTGCATCACCATATGCTGGAAAACAGATCCCGAGAAAAGATCCGATTGCCAGGTATATGTGTCACTCTTTTTGTCCAGGCACAAAAAAATTGTCGTAGAAAGATATCAAATTAGTTGCTGTTAGTTTGCAAGGGGGAATCTGACTCCTTATTCTGAATTCCGAAGTGTTAAAGAGTTGAATTCCTTGGTACTTTTAGGAGTTAGAACGAGTTAAACCATCTTGAGACCAAATGTTGTACTCCTCCTCATTTTAAATAGCCGTATTTTCTGGATGGGTGTTTAAGTTGTTAATATAACTTAAAGCATATTGTATTGATGTAATAAAATATTAAAGTAATGCCTGAAAATTAGCATGCTTCAGGAAACATCATATTAAAGTTCAAAATTTGGATAATTAACCAAATATGTATTATAAATGCTGTAAAATATTTATCTTACTGAATGGTGTCAAACATTTTGGAATGTCCCAAATAACTAAGCATGTCATAGAAATAGAGGTGCAGGATGTATGTGTTTTTTCTTGTTAAATTTTGTTCTGAGATTCCATATTGATTTTTTTGAAGTTAGTTTATCCATGATGTTCTCTCTTCTGGAGAGAATATTTTTTCCTGTGGAACCAAGTACCAACCAGATGTTCTCAACGTAATAATTTGTCTTCTACAAAAGATCAAAAACATCAGCGTATTTAATGAGAACTAACTGCTCTCCCCTGGAGAGAATGTTAATAAGGGTTTTGTCATCATCACCAAAATATGATAATGCAGGTAACTATTATGCATGGGCTATGATCAGAAGATCAAAAACATCAGCATATGTTTTTAAACTGCTCTCCCCTGGAGAGCATATTAATAATGGTTTTGTCATCATCACTAAAATATGATAACGTAGGTAATAGTTATGCATGGGCTATGATTATGTGAGCCACTAATTAAAATTTTGTTTTTGGTCAAAGTAGGCCTTGGAGTATTATAATCTCAATTGAATTCTCGTTGATACATTTTTTCCAGTGAGCAAGAAAGTGTTGGTGAAGTGCCATTAGCTGAATATGAGATCAAGAATGGAAAAGATCTGGAAAGTAGTCAACTGGATTCTGATCATTGGGAGAAAAATGGACTAAAGAAGAACGCATCAAAAACAGAGTTGCCGCCCCTAACCTCTGAGAAGGATGCTTTACCGGTCAAGAATAGAACTCAAACCCCAAAAGCTCGTCNCCGGTCAAGAATAGAACTCAAACACCAAAAGCTCGTCAAAGTCAGAGTGGACCACTTATGGCTGGTGTTGTACTAAGTCACTCGGCATCAGAAAGAGCTCGGAACTCTGAAAGGTTTGCTACGACTCATTGCTTTCTTATTCCGCTGTATCTTACATTGCACCAAGACAACTTATCAAAAGAAAAACGTTACATCAAAACATCTTTGTGTACCATCTTGGTACATTATCAATAAATTACTTTACCTTATTAAAAAAAACATTGCACCAAAACAACTTGAAATATGAAGCTTCATTAATATTCAGGAATCAAATAGCCTTTCCCTTCAGTCCATATTCAGCTGCGGGGTGAAAAGGAATTGGTAAGAATCGAAAGCTCAAACTTGGTCTCTCTACCATCTATCTGGCAGGTGCCGGATTTTTTTCTTAGATTGTTATTACTTCGTTGGAATGAGAAGATTTCCATGAGAAGGAATTCTCACTGGCATTTTCTCTAAAATTAGTGTGTTGAATACATGTTATATAGGCTAATTTCGGCATATGAAATAATCCAAATACACCGAAATCATTCTACATTGTAATTCATTGTGCTTTCTTGGAGCATTTGCACATCGAAGTATGAGATTATTCTTTTGTCTGGACAATTGCTATCAAAATGGGAACTTTCAGTGAGGTAACATATGTTTCTTTTGCAGAAGTGAAATTGAAAACCAACAACCAGGAGATAAAGCTCATCAAGTGCGAAGAGCACCCAGCTTTAGTGGCCCCTTAATGCTTCCTAACCGAGCTTCAGGAAATAGTTTATCAGCTCCAATTAAATCATCTGGGGGTATTAATGCTCTCAAGACAAGTTCATTTTGCTATTGTGTGTATGACTATTGGTTTATAGGGAAAATCTAGGTGACATCCTAACTAAGGGTTTTGCAGTAATTATAATTTTTATCTGTTCAGGATTCAAAGATTCTTTGGATGACAAGTCAAAGCCGAACTTGGTTCAAATAAAAGGCCGTTTTTCTGTAACATCGGAAAATGTAGATCTTGTGAAGGTAAATCATATTTTTACATGCTCTTTCTTCTAGGTGACTATTGGCTAACTTAAATATGTATGTTAGGATATTCCGTTATGTACAGTGCCTCGACGATCTTCCCAAGTAAGTGGTGTAGTGTTGCCTTTTGATTCAAAAGAACACAATGTTTCATTCCTATAGTATCTTTGACCCGATTTCTGTGATTCCCAGGGATCACCACTTAGGAAGTCTGCTAGTGTTGGAGAATGGCTGGTCGAATCTAAACAGATGGTGTGTGTATTATCCCTTTCTTTACTACTGCAGTTAAATGATGGAATATGTTAAAACTTTTGAGCCCCACCTTAATGGGCTATTTTGTCTTAACCAAGTGAAAAGAGCCGTGAAAAACGAAGAACTAATTGACCTAATAATCAATTTTTTGATCAATTTTCAGCCACCCTGTCAACCACCGAAGGATCTTGGCCTTAATAATGTTCCTGCTTCAGTTCTCATGCCTCACCTACAAAATCTTTTTCAACAGACGTCAATCCAACAGGTAAGGCATCCGTGTATGGTAGGGATGCAAGATCACTCCCCCTCCGCCCAAACAAAACAAAAACAAGAAAGGAAATGGGGACGAGTCACTAATTCAATTCTATTTCTCTGGTTCTTCTAACTTCTTATTTCTACTGCTTTTGTTATCAGGATCTCATTGTAAATCTATTGAGTAGCTTGCAACTATCTGAGTCAGGAGATTGTAAGTAAACAAGAAAGAAATCTCTAATGCCCTTATGTAATGAAACATGTCTACCAATAGTAACATGGATTCAGGTTTACTTAATTGAAATTTCTTATTCTATCTCAGCTTCTCAAAATGGAAAGTTACCTCCCCTACAGCGCCCAGAGAACAACGGAACTGTAAGTACATGTCTTTGCTTTGAAAATATGTTAGCTTTAAGAATTTAGAAGCTGCAAATGTTTATGTGGAGCTCCATTAAATGTATTGTACACATTTCTTTCCAATGCATCTTACAGGACAGCAAAACTATCAGGTTGTGTTCAAGCTATGAAAATTATTGTGTAGAATATATGAAACTACTTCTCCTATTTTAAGACTGTCCTCCATTTGATATACACCATACTGATAATACCAAGCTCCTAAATTGCTTGGAAGAATTTCCTTGTACCTGCTGTGCTTCCTGCTAATTTCCATGCAATAGGTCCTTGAAACCTAAGTGGACGTGGAGAAATCATTTGCAACTTGCTCAATCTTTTTCCCCATTCTGCTTCAGTTACCCATTTGTTTCTTACCTTTCTCCCTTTCAAAATCTTTCTTTAATGATCCTTGTGCTGAATCATTCTTCCATCTGAATGCAAGATGTTTGCAATCGGACAGTGTATTTTATCAACGGTATCCTGACAGACACTGTACCTATATAGTTGATTCATAAGGATGCTGAAATGTTTGATTTTTAATCTATTTATCATATCTTGATTGACAATAGGATGCCTCAGCCATCTGGTTTTCTTCATGTTTCTTGTCAGTTTGTTTCAAGTAAACTACACACAGAAATCAAACTTCAGGAGTTCACCAACTATTATTGCTTAATTCTTGAGAAACTGGAATATGTGCTTGACGGAGTTTTCTGGATAAAGAATTTTGTACATTCAACTGTTTATATTAGAAGTGAGAAAGACAAGAAGTAAATAAACTGAGTATTGATAATAAAGAGGAAATGGTAAGAGCGCAGCGCATGATGTGTAGGTTAGGTGCACGGCAGTTGAACCCTGCCGCAAACAGAAGCCTGGTATTTAAGTGGAGAAGGGTTGAGCGCCAGGCTCATTAGTTCTGAACCACGCCTCACTAGCTCCCGGGGATATCTTGTTTTTTTAAAAAAAGAGTTAATAAGAGGAGATTTTGCTATATGTCTGCGCACATGTATACAGTCTGATGTATTATTTGGATGGTTGACTTGTCCTACTTAAGAAGATGTTTTTCATTAACCTAGAATTGTTATGTGTGTCTGGGCTAATAAAAAATATATATTTATGTTTTTTTTTAACCCCTTTAATTGCCATATCGCGTAACCAATACTCCATTTTGTTCCTGTCATCTATGATCTCATCACAAGGTGTTTCTATTATCTTTTGCCTCGTTTTCTCTAGCCTCTTACTCCACAGAGACTAGCAACAACAACAACAAAAAACCCAGTAGTTTCCCACAAGTGGGGTCTGGGGAGGGTAAGATGTACGCAGCCTTACCCCTACCCCATAGAGACTAGAAAGTAAATAAAATATATTATTGATTGCTGCTGATAATTTTATGGGAGTTCTAATGTTAACACTTTTAAAGTATTCATCTTGTGCATCTGTCATAGAGACTAGCAACAACAACAACAAACCCAGTAGTTTCCCACAAGTGGGGTCCGGGAAGGATAAGACGTACGCAACCTTACCCCTACTCCATAGAGACTGGAAAGTAAATAAAATATATTATTGATTGCTGCTGATAATTTCATGGGAATTCTAATGTTAACACTTTTAAAGTATTCACTTGTGCATCTGGCATCATTGGGATGCCCCCAGTACTACTTGGTACGCAACCCAAATGTTTTGATCAAGACTGTTTCNTGGCGTATTTTGTCTTTTATCACATGGTAACCATTTGTTTTGATCAAGACTGTTTTGTTTTGCAGGTTGAAGCAGCTGTTTCTGAGAGGGAGAAGCTATTGCTAGTCAAAATATCTGAGCTTCAGGCTAGGTTAGCCCGCTGCACACACAAATCAACTGTGGTCATGCTTCTCTCAGTTCCATGTACAATATTTAATTGAAGAACTGATCTTCTCTCTACTTTGCAGGATGATTAATTTGACAGATGAATTAACTGCAGAAAAATTAAAATACTGGCAGGTAAGTGCACCCTCAGTTTCTTCAATGCAAAGGTCTATCTAATTTTAATTGGATTTAAGAAAAAAAGAAAGGATAACAAGAGGTCTATTGTGGTTAAACATACACCAAACTACTTTCTGGACAATAGGAGCAGAAAAAAGTAAAAAGAGGGGAGGAGAAAAGAAAATGCACAGCTTTCTAAGGTTGTGAGTACCAATTGGGTGAGTTGAAGGAGAAGAGGAGGGCAAAACAATGCTTTATAATCTTCTTCTTTCAGTTTCCTGACCTTTCCCAAAGAAGGATCGTTGCAAAAATATGACTAGTGTCTCCAAAATTCTTAAACATTTCTTTTCCTCCCAAACATGAGAAAAAGAAATTCTGGGGAATGTTTTCATAAATAATAATAATAACTAAAAGAACACCAATGACGTGGAGATATCTCTTTTACTTGATGAAGTTCAGGTTCAAAAACTAGGCCTTAAGTAGCAACTGTGAGAAGGCACGGGAGAAAATATGTTATTGATATTGGATCAACAATACAATATAAGAGGTCCTTATTTATAGCTATACTATACAAGGACATACTACTCTTCTACCAATGTGGGACAATACTACACTATATACATGCTGTAAACTAACACTCCCCCTCAAGCAGGTGCATACAAATCATATGTACCGAGCTTGTTACATATATAACCAATACGAGGACCAGTGAGAGACTTGGTGAAAATATCTGCAAGTTGATCATTCGACCTCACAAACTTTGTAGCAATCTCTCCTGAAAGTATCTTTTCTCTGACGAAGTGACAATCAAT